TGTCTCACCACCCTCACAGTAAAGATTTTCTTCCTAGTAGCTAATCTAAATCTACCTTCTTTCAGCTTGAATCCATTCCCCCTTGTCCTGTCACTACCTACCCTTGTAAAAAGTCCCTCTCCAGATTTCTTGTAGATCCCTTTTAGGTACTGGAAGCTGCTCTAAGGTCTCCTCGGAGCCTTCTCCACACTGAACAACCACAACTCACTCAGTCTGTCTTCATGGGAGAGGTGCTCCAACCCTCTGAGCATCTTCAATTAAGACACAGCATGAAGAAAGCAAGTTTGCCCCATAGGTCCAGGCAAGCACTTCTCTTCTTGTGCTTCCTCCATGCATCTATGCTGGATGCACTTCATCACTGTTCTCCTCTCCCTTACATTTGAGGGGCATGGCATGAATCCAAAAGGTGGCAGATGCAGCATGTTTCTGGTGACTTGCTGGGACAAAATGGAGACAAATGGAGATGCAGTGTGAGCTGGTGGCTGCTGGTGGCCACCAGCTGGTGACTTGAGTTATTGAACCAGTAGTTACCCACATATCTGTCTTACTAGACATCGACATGGAGCTCAGGTTTATCATGGAGTTTAAAGTTCTGCAAAAAATCTCATTAAAATGGCTAGAACTGTAACAAATGGAAAACTTTGAGCACTCTTCATATTTTTTATAATAGTGTGATGCAAAATCAACTGAAAAAAATCCAGACAAAACCCAGTACTCTTGCCATTTTTCCCACTAGATTACCTTCCTTTGCACACTCTTCAGAACTTAAGAAATGCCTGAAAGTTCCTCCTTTAGCCATGCCATTGCTCCTTACATTAACTGTAAGCCTACCTGGTCCACATGGAAAGAATTAATCTAGAAAACGTTCTGTATGTCCCAGCTGCAGTTAAAAATTAAACAAGTCTGTAATAAATGAGCCCACTGCAGCTTAAGAGGACAGCAGGTCTGCTGCAGTATGAAGCTTTATTCACTTCTGGGGGAGTGAGAGAAACTGTCTAATTTTGGAAAGGCACAGAACCAATCAGTCTGATTTCAGCCCAGTGAATTTCTGCCTCCTGCCCTTCCTCCTGTTCTCCTGCAAGCTGTTATCAGCAAGCCGCACTGCCACAGAGGTCTCTTCTGTAGAGCATGTATGGTGCATGGCTTTCTTCCTCACAGTAACTGAAGACAAGGGTTGGAAACTGTAGGGAGAAGTTACTGAAATCATTAAGCTTAACATTAACCTCTTTTCAGGTATCTGCTAATATTTCAGGTAACTGTAGTAACTGCAGGTACTATTATGAATCCTATGGAAACCCCGGATGTCAAAGAGACAGACCACCTGCCATTAACTTGCAGAATCATTAACCTGCACAGAGTTAAGCCAGAAAATTCCCTAGTGACGTGTTATGTTTCCACCCTGGTTTACTCTGATGCTCTCCTTCATTCAATATGTCAGGGGAGCACCTGATTTTGAGATTAATTAGTAATTAAGAGGTGGTTCAAAACCATCACAAGTTCAGAGAAGAAAGCAACCTACTCATGTTAGAAAATAGTGAGAAATATAAATTCCAGCCTCCTGGGATTTTCCTTTGAGCAGGAAGTTTAAATAACTCTATTTTGAACATACCAAACTGACCCCATTAACTAGATGTAATAAACAAATGGAGATATTTAAGCTGACATTTGAGCAGTGTCAAAGCCTTCTAAGCTTGTTCTGAGTGGATTAGTAGATAAGTGCTAGCATTCCTATTCTGGGATATGTTCCAAGGCAAGCATGAGGACTGATGATTTTATTTAACTCCAAGATGGACAAACACTCTATATTTCAATAACGCAAATCATTTGTGTAATACTTACAACAGGCTACCAGTTGATGCTGATGGTGTTGGGATATAAAAACCTCTCTGCTTGTCACTGTATCTGAGGGCAAAATCTGCTTTTCCTCTACCATTCAATCAGTATGGGAAACCATGATTAGCAGCATGGGGCATGTAGTTTTCTCAGAAACACACAGTGCATCTCACCTGATCTAATCCCAGAAAAAAATGATTTAATCTTTTTTTAAACAAAGGATATCATTAGATGGTTCATAGGCTCTGTAAGATATTTGTAGACTTAAGTGAGATATTGGCAAATGAATTCAGAGCCAGCTCGTGTCCCAGCAGTACTGACAAATCTGCAAGTAATTTGGTAGGTTGTTTGGAGAATCTTGCCAACTATTGCTACTCATTCAGTTTTTGCTGTATCTGCCAATTACAAGTGATAACAAGTCCACAAAGCTATTTTCAAAAAAGATCTTAAATGTCTGCCTGAATGCCTCCTTATTCAGCAGAATATATGCATAAATCTCCACTATGTTCAGAGGTTCTGACTTCAATCCAATTCCAGTACTCAACATTACAGAGGAGAATCCCTCTAATGCGATTACCTTGTAGGACATAAATCAAGGGAAATCTTCCAAACTGAGCTTATAAAACAAGAACACTAGGCCTTGGTTATCAGGACTCTAAACCTCTAAATTAATGATTGTTCTGTCACTCCTTTCTGTGTGACTGTGAAAAGAAATAAAAGCAAGCTTTATCTTCAGCACCAAACAAGCAATCCTAAGCCTATTATGCAGGCAATGCTGAAAAACTTTTCAGGTTTTATCCTCACCTATATGAACACCAGATCCACAAAAAGGCTTACTTATTTTAAATGGAGGTGAGTCAAAATGGTGATTAATTAATCCTAAGGCTTCAGGAGGCACCCAAGCTTTTCCCAATGAGGTTTCACACCGAGCAAGCTTACACAAGCTTTGCACCTCATTATTTACCTTCCCTTTCCTTATAAATGAGGGTGGCCAGTGACATGTACAGTTATGCATATTCAGCATACTGGCAAGAGAGAATCTGCATGTGTAACAACAGCAGCCAGAGCCATTTGCATTTGAAAGAGAGAATTTTTGTAGCAAATCACTTCTTCCAGCTGGGCTTTAACAGCGAAGAGTAAGCCAGTTGTTTGTAGCCAAAGGCACAAGGTATGGTACGTGATGGGTTTAGTGCTGTGAATCCAACTGAGATTCTTTGCTGACAAAAAACCTCAGCTTGGGAGAGAGGATTTCTAATGCACCATCTCTTTGTTTCTCCCTTCTAGCAAGTTTAGACTATCTCCTGCCTGTGAGGTGACTGTGAATCCCATTCCTACCTGCCTCACTGCAGGCCGTGTTCAGGGAAAGCAAGTGAGGGACACAAATCTGAAATCAGTCCTGGGAGCTCAACATTTTAAAATGACATGCTGACATCTTAAACTTTGCTGAAGCCTTTGTGGACCCAAGCATATGGTCTTCTTATGTCCCCTTGGAAGTGTTAAGAGATTTTGGTTACAAAGATTCAGGATCTTCACATTTACATGTGCTATGTAATAGTTGCAGTTGAACGTAAATATTAAAAGGCATTTTATTTTTTGTGGTACATTAAAAAAAAACTACAGAATCTAGGAAATTTATGACTTGCTTAAAATTGTTTTGCTATTGAATGTCTGTTTAAAACTTGTTGCCCTGTTGAGAAGTCACATTTTCCAGTTCCAGAGTGACATTTGCTCATCCTGCTTCTTCCTGACCTTCACATCTGTGATGCAGAGCAAACCATCATCACCTTTTAAATTCCTAGCATGACTTATTTCAGTAAACTGATTTCTACATGGACTTGAAAGTATCATTAAAATTTGGTGCCAGAATAATTTCAGTCTTATTATACCACATCTGTATGAAACTGGGAATTTGTCTCACTTTGTATTAGGTGTCTACCACACTGGTAGAGAGCTAGGTGTCTAATGTACCATTATAGCTGGTGGTGATCAGTTCAGTACAGTAGGGGGAGCCTAGAGAGCAATTAATTTCATTATAGGCACCTTCATTTGATCGTATCACCTTTTGATGTCACCCAGAGAGCCAACCGTGTGCCGGGTTGCATCAAAATAAGCATGACCAGCAGGCTGGGAGAGGTGATTCTCCCCCTCCGCTCTTGTGAGACCCCACCAGCAGTGCTGCGTTCAGTGCTGCTCCGCCTCTCAAGGGGGAGGTGGACCTGTTGGCATGAGTCCAGAGGCAGCCATGAAAATGGTCAGAGGGGTGCAACACCTCTCCTAGGAAAACAGCCTGAGAAAGGTGGGCTGAAAAAGGCTCAGGGGTGACCTTATAGCAGCCTTCCAGTGCCTAAAAGGGGCCTACAAGAAATCTGGAGGGAGACTTTTTACAAGGGCATGTAGTTACAGGACAAGCAGGCATGGCTTTAAACTGAAAGAGAGGATATTTAGGTTATATATTAGGAGGAAATTCTTCACCATGAGGGTGGTGAGGCCCTGGCACAGGTTGCCCAGAGAAGCTGTGGCTGCCCAATCCCTGGCAGTGTTCAAGGCCAGGTTGGATGGGGCTCTGAGCAACCTGATCTAGTGGAAGGTGTCCCTGCCTATCACAGGGGGTTGGAACTGGATGACTTTACTGGATGACCTTTAAGGTCCCTCCCAACCCAAACGATTTTATGATTCTACGATTCTACAATCATATGTGAAACTCTGCAGACTCTACTGTTATTGACCACATTCCCATTAGCTGTAATGACAACTCACTCACAGCTCCTAAGCAGGCACTTACCTCACAGACTCCCAAAGTTAGGGTGAGCCTTGAGTGCCAGTTTTCCACAGCATGAAGAGTCAGCCTTCCCTTAGGCACCTACAAATTTCACATTTAAACAGTATTTATAGGGATAGAAGCAATTACCTATGATACATGTCAACTAAAGCATACTTCATCCCTGCCCAGCTACACCTCAGCTTTGAAGCACCCTTCCCTCCGCCTCAGGGACTGGCACACAGGAGCTGCCCCAGCCTTACCTTCACTTAATTAAGGGAATATATTCGCTCTACATGGTCTCCTACAGGCTTCGTCCTGCGGCGCTGAGGTGAGGTGACAGTGGGGCCGCCGAGGGGGCGGGCTGTGGGGGGGGACGATGAGGCGACGGGAGGATAGCGGAGCGCCTCCCGGCGGGCCCGGCAGGGGGCGCCGTCCGCTCGCCTGACTACTGCGTTTGTCCCCTCGCGGCCTCCGTCCCCGTCCCGGCGCGGTTCCTCGGGGTCTGCCCGGCCTCTGGGGTTCGGCCAGCGGCGCCGGCCGCGGCTGAACCAGGCTGGGACGGGCCCTGCCGCCATGTTCACCAGCACCGGCTCTAACGGGCTCTGTGAGTACCGGGGAGGACGGAGCTGGGGGAGGGAGGCGGTGAGGGGTGTGTCGGCGTCTCCCCCGCGGCGGGTGGCCCGGCCCCCTCCGCCGGGGACGGGGTCGAGCTGCCGGGGAGGGGCGCCCAGTCTGGGCGCGGTGCTGCCGCTGCCGCCTCCCCCGGGGGAGCCTCTCCCCGTTCCTGTCACAGGCCGCCTGCCCTATGTTTCACTTTTAAACTCGGGGTTTACCGCGTGTCCCACTAGGAGGAGCCGCCCCCGGCGGTACTGCAGCAGGAGGAGACCTTTGAGGGCTCCGCTTTACGGGCAGCGCTCCGTCGTCCGGCCGGCTGGTGGCAAGAATTTGGGGAGGTCTCCCAAGTAACAAGTGATAGGGTAAGAGATAACGGTTTAGATTAGATATTAGGAAAAATTCCTTCACCGAGAGGGTGGTCAGGAATTGGAACAGGTTGCCCAGGGCAGTGGTAGAATCACCGTCCCTGGAAGTGTTCAGAGTACATGTAGATGAGGCCCTTAGTAACATGGTTTAGTGATGGGCTTGGCAGTGCTGGAGTAAAGGTTGATCTCGATGATCTTAAAGGTTTTTTCCAACCTAATTGATTCCATGATTCTGTGATTCAAGGGGCTGTGCCTGGACATAGTGGTACCAGGACCACCTTCCTGCCGTGTATGTGTGGGTATATGTATGTGTCTACACACATACAGATCTACGTGACTAGGTATGCATTGCACAGGAGAAATAGCTCTTAGTGTTAAGAGAGCTGTTTTTTGGTAAATGTATCTACATATACATATACACATCTACATACAGCTCTACATGCCTAGGTACATATCAGAGAGATATAACTTTTTTTTTTATGTGAAAAGAAAATCATTGTTTAAACCAGTTTATTGATGAGACAGGTTTAAGGACAAATGCATTCCTAGCTGTATTGAACTTTAGGTTTACATTCACCACATATAAATCATTTCATATCCCAGTGCTGCCTGAACAAACCTGGAAAGCTTGGAGGGTTGCTTCTGAGCTTGCTTGCAGGACAAAGAATCTGCCACTTTTAGAGATGGCGATGAAGAACCGAACCAGCTGCACTGTGGACTTTGGCTCTACAGCCCTCAGAGCAGGCTGGGACAAATGATAAGTCAAAACTTTGCTTACTAACTGCATGCTTCACGCAAAAGTCCAAACCTGAGTGTGAAAGCACCTCAGACTAGGGATGAATAGAGCTGGCATTTCAGAAGGGGTATTAGTTGTAGCTGTAGCTCTGTAAGGCATCTAAAGAGGGGAGAGTATTTTTGCAGATGCTAGCACTGTACTTGAGTCACAGTTCCTGATTTTTTTCATTTTTTCACCCCAACAGTAGGTACTATAGAACAACAGCCTTTTGGTGCCATATGCCTGTATAATTCTATGAGAAAGAAGGAAAATAACCTTGTTTGGCTGAATGGGTGGAAAGTGACAGTCAGTATTGAAAAGTTTTCCCAAAATAGGTCCATCAGAAGCATGAGTGGAAAATTGCAGTCATAAGAAATATATTTGTGCTAGGAGAATAAACTAGGCAAGACGCCATTCTTCAAAAAGTAAATATTTTAACTTTTTTTCCTCATAGAATCACAGGATGGTTTGGGTTGGAAGAGACCCTCAGACATCATCTTGTTTCAACCCCTCTGCCATGGGAACACCTTCCACTATACCAGGTTGTGCAAAGCCTCATCCGACCTAGCCTTGAACACTTCCAGGGATACGACATCCACAGCTGCTCTGGGCAGCCTGTTCCGGTGTCTCACCACCCTTACAGTGAAATTTTTTTCACCAGTATCTAATCTAAATCTACCCTTTTTCAGTTTAAAAACATTACCCCTTGTCCTGTCACTCTTACTGTACTTACCTCTTGATCTACAGTGATTTTTCACAGTAAGACTTGACTGATTCAGGTGCACTGACAAACTCTAGTAGAGGCACAGTTTTAAGTGGCAGTGACATATGCTCATTTAGTGCACAGTCTGGCAGTGTAAGATGTGCCCTCATACTTTTGTTTCCACCTCTGTAGCTGAAGCATCTGCTGCAGTAGCAGCAGGTTTGTAGGATTCAGTCACTGATATGCAGGATCTGGTGGTTTAGGCAGTTAATGAAGGTTGAGTTGGCTTGTGAAACAGCATTGCAGCATGTTCAGAAAGCATGCTGCAGCACCTGCCTTAAGGGAAGGAAGGGCTTGAGAGGTGAGTTGTGGTGCTGAGCCCAGAATGGGTTCTTGCGTTGCAGTCTGCCAGCAACCTGAGTCCTAAGAAGAATGCTGCTGAAACACTTCAGTGGTTCTGCAAAGGCTAGTGTGAGTGCATGAAGACTGATGCTGGGCTGGCTGTTTGATTTACTGTAATACTGCTTAGCTGTGTTTGGTGCTTGTTCACCCAGCAACAATGATACACAGAAGGCTTTTTTTATAAGACACCAAGGCCTTTCCAGCAACTTAAACCTGTAAGACCAGCACCTAACTTTTCTGCAGACATTGTAATATCCCCTCCCAGTATTTTTTTGTGTGTAAAATTTGAGTCTATGTTTTAAAGCCACTTCCTACATCTGGAAAATATTTGACTATTTTGCCTACTGCACACAAGCTACTTCTTGTAGTAGTATGGAGTAGAGTCCTTTGAACTTCAGTGCAAGCATTTCTGCTAATGCAACTTACGCTTTCACCTGTGTGTGAACCTTGTAGTGCAGTGCTAGCAATTTGTTACAGGTCCCCAAGGCAAGAAGGGAACACTGTGCTTCTCTGCTTGCATAACCTACAAGACTGAACTGTGCTGTATGTGGGCCTCAGGAAAATAATAAAAGGATGTAAGCTTATGCTTTGTGGTACCACTGGAGGAGAAACCAAGTCTGTATTGAATATATCAGACCTCTGTGCATAACAATAGAACACTACTGTATGGGAGAACAAATTAACTTGTACATAGTATGCCACAGTGCAGCCTGGTTCAAAATATTTGCTTGAGTCCTGGGATCAGCATAGCCACATCAGTTCAATTAGCCATGCATTGAACACCACAAAAATGTGGCTATTCTGCTGCTGTTGCAGAGCTAGATCATCTCAAGCGAGCGTTGGGGATCTCTGTGTGGTGGTGTGGTGTAGCCATACCTGATATTCCTGGCAGTGTATACGAATAGTAGTATGGTAATATGCTCTGTGGTTGGGAGGAAGAAAAGGCTGCTCAACCAGGTGGGTGTATTTGTTAACTTCAACCTGTTTCACTTTCTATTTCTTTTCAAACGTTCCTCTTAGAAACAAAAATTTTCTTCCTTTTTTTTCCCTTCCCTTTTATTTTTGTAGCATCTCACTCTTCTGTAGTTTGTGACCTAGGTTTGGTTTCTAAACAGTAAATGTATAGGTAACTGCTTTGACTGCTTACCAGCACCTTTTAAAAAAAGATTTAAAGCATGATAATAGTTGGTTTCTTTATAAATTTTCTTGATATATATACTAACATTATTCACCTCTTAGCTTCTGCAGTATGTTTATAAGCATTTGATAAAATTCCGTTCCTGCGGTGATACTCTTACTGTACTCACTTGCTGGCATCATGATGGCTAACCACTAGAGTATGCTATGAAGTGACAATCTGAACACAGGGTTCCTGAGTTCCTGAGTCTGTGCCTAGACCCAGGGCAAGAGCTGCTTTCCTGACACAGAATACTTTATGTAAGATTTTCAGGAAGCAGGAATTCAACTGCTTTTGCAGGGTCCTCTTGTACTGCATGTTTTTCCCAAAGGGTGCAGTCATGTCACAGAATAGGGTTGCAAAGGACCTTAAGATCATCTATTTCCAATTACACTGAATTGAGCAAACTTTATAAAAACATAATATGGTTAAATTTCACCCTGCCAGTTTGCATACAGTCTTCTGCTGTCTTCGAGATTCCTCAAGCAGTATTACGTGTGTCTGTATTTCTTACCATCCTCCCTCCATGGCATGCTGTCATTTGTTCTTGGCTACTGTTCAGGACTCAGCATGTGGTTATAATACAGGCAAGCTTTTACTCCTCAGGTCTAGTAAGATTGCTCCTATCTCCCAAAGGCACACACTGGAAGCACTAATTTCCAATTTGTCACTAAATTCCAATTTGCATATCTGGTTTCATCAACCATTACAATAAAGGACGAACAAGATTTCCAAGGAGGAGGTTTTCATGCTGCCATTTAATCTGTAGCAAACTTGCATCTGAAGTGAAAATAGTAAGCAAGAGTCTGTATTGAAACGTCATTTTGAAATGTAACTGTTGGTGAACCTGCTGCAGGTTCTTGGGCAGATTTTGGAATGAAGTAGGTGAATATCTGCATGATGGCTTCATGCGAGAGAAACAACCACCTAAAACGCACATTCCATTAGTGCATTTGGGAAGTACTGTGCATTCAGATGTGCGTCAGTTGTGGCTTTAAAGACTCACAGATCTTGTGTATCAGCATTAAAAATGGTTCATGCGTGTTTCATGCCACTGTAGCAGTAGCCCCCAGCAGTTTATTGAATGTCTGAAAGTGGTGTATCTGCCTCATAGCAGCTGGGTTTGGGGAGTATGCAGATGACAATGTTAGAAAAAGCTGTTGCACAGCATGTTTTGTCTGCAGGTGTGGTATAAGCTCAGTAGAGACACCCACAAAAATGTGCTGAACTAATTTGAGCTTTTCAGCTACTGCTCATCAGCTGGCTTTGGCAACAGGGTCCTCTCCCAAGTCAACACTTGAGTCTCAGGCCTGGAATAACTGTCCAGGGGGTGAAGTTGTGGCCTGAAAAGCCCTTCTGAAACAGTAGCTTGGTCTGACTGCCTGTTTTGACATGTTCATCTGCTATCTTTCTTCACCTGTGAGTGGTGAGCAGGCAGGGAACAGGAAATAATTTAAAAACTGTAGCTGTTGCTGCTACCACAACTTTCATATTCTTCTCCTTAGTGTAGTGGTGGATTCTGAAGCTGCAGCTGCCTGAGCAGTTTACTGTAAACCTCCCTCTCCGTTTGTGACAGACGGACACATCCTTTCCTTAACATTCTGCACTCTGAAAGTGGTACTGTCAGCCAGAATAGTAGTAGCTTGTGGAAGAATCATAAAATTACTTAAGTTGGGACCTTAAAGATCATCTAGCTCGAAGCCCATGGGCAGGGACACCTTTCACTAGACCAGGTTGCTCAAAGCCTGGTCCAGCCTGGCCTTGAACACTTTCAGAGCATCTTTGTGCAACTTGTTACAGTGTCTCAGGACCTTCACAGTAGGAACTTCTACCTAATAGCCAATCCAAATCTACCCTCTTTCAGTTTAAAGCCATCTTCCCCTGAATTTATGGGCTTTGTAATGAGTTCAGGGGTGGAATGTGGAGCCAGGTTGGATGGAGCTTTGAGCAACCTGGTCTTGAGGAAAGTGACCCTGCCCATGCCAAGGGGTTTGGAACTAGACGATCATTGAAGTCCATTTCAACCCAAACTGTGATTCTATGACTTCAAGGTGGTTTTCTCATTCTTGTCACATTTTAGGACCAGCTTCACATTGTGCAGTGTTAGCACAAAGTGGTTGGGACACTTGCGTGTGAATTTATGAGGGCAGTTTTGGGGAGAACTCTGTTGCATCAGGGAAAGCAAAGACCTGTAGTGAAAGCTAGTTTGTTGGCCTTCTTCACAGCATGGCATATTCAGCTGGTTATTACAAAATTTCTCTGTTCATCTTTCATCTAAGGATGGAAGCTCAAGTATGTGTGTTGCAGCACCAGTGCTATTTCTGCCGGTTCTTTGAAAGAATTGCCACTTAAGGAGTACATTGCAAATTTATTCCAAGGTCTGAAGATAGTGTTTTATATATTTTAACTCTTCATGGTCAAAATGAGAGTTTATCCTTTCATTCTGTTTTCTTTATGTGGTATAGAGGCCCTCCTTGTGCACATTAATGTTGCTGCTACCAGCAGGCACTGATAGCCCAGTAGGTTGTAGTATACATTTCCATTCTGCACACAGTTGCAAAGCCATTGGACTAGAATTTTTCTTTCTAGATATTACCTTCATGTTCCAAGTAAGGAATTTGACTTGGATGTCAGAATGCCTGACTGTGCAGTATTTGGGATTGTTAGTAATTTTTGGGCTTATTGATCAAGGGATTCCACAGCAGCGGGAGGGTTGCTTCTTCACTGGTGACAGCAGCCCTTGATAAGGATCTATATGCTGTAGAGGGATAAAGCAAGCTACTACATTGTTCAGTGAAACACTTGGAAAGAAACACTTCAGGAGGTACATTATTTCTCTGAAAGAGTTTATCTTTCTGAGCTTACTGGATAAGGATAAACTCATCAACCATGATGACACATTGAGAAACTTGAGAGTAGAAGTTTCCGTTACTCACATGATGATCTCTGGGGGTGACTGTCACATTAATGGATTAGTTACTTCTGTGGTTTTTCACTTGATGACATTATTAAAAATAAGTACTTTTCCTCTATAACAAGGTTTAAAGCATCTAAGCTGAAAGCTAAAAGGAGGTTCATAATAAAAATGCAAGTTCACACTTTTGGAGAAAACATATTAGGTTTTGTTGATTGGTTATTTTAGAATGCATTCAAATTAGGAATGAACTTGACAAGATAACATATTTCAAGTATTACCTGTAATGTAAAAATAATTATATGAAAATTGCAGTGAAATCTAAATATTAAACCTGTATAGAAATAGTCACAGATGGAAATCTAGTGATTTGCTTGTCATATTTTTTCTGGTAATGTGATCCTCATGTGAAAAGTATTATAGGATTGATGTGTTCTGGAAAAAAAAGTCTATTTAAACTCATGAAATAACAGAAATGTATTTGATAATAAAATAACATGTTTGATAAAATTTTGGCTCAGAAGCATCTACTGTGGTAACTGCTACTAATGTTCTGATTTTGTCTGTACTTTCAAATATCTGTTTTAGTCTCATTATAAAACTGTCCTTTTCACATGAAGGAATCTTAATTTAACTGAGTTAGGTTAACTTAGGGAGCATTTCCTGATGTTTCCAGTGAACACGTATATGCATCGTGTGCACAGTAACTTTCAGGCAGCTCTAGCTTATTTTTAACGCCAGTGTTCTACAGTACTCTGGCTTCAGACTTTTTTGAAGCATCCACCTAAATGAGAGGAATGAATAATTTAGAAAATTTATATCTAAAGACTATAGATTTTATTTTTTTTAGTGAAAAAATATCCAAAGAAAGATATTAAATTGAAAGGTGGATAGTTTTCTTGCATTAAAAGAAAAATTAGCCAGGCTTTCTGCCTTCTTGATATGACTTTCACAAAAAATCCAATCATAAATGTAGAGCTTATGGTTGTCAGAGTAACAGCAACCTATGTCAATCCAGGTGACTGCCTAATTTCTGGAAAAGGATAGTTCTTCAAGGCATTAATTGCTTAAATGTAGTAAGGTGTGTCTGTAAATAATGAACTCAGATACACGGTTGTGGACTGAAAGAAAAGTTTTAAGTACAAGTTTATGTTAGGATTCATGTAGGAAGGGTTGTTTTCGTATAACCATCAGAACATCAGAAGAGTGCAGACTTCAGGGTGGTGTGAGCTGAGAACAGCTAACAGTGCCCATCAAAGCTGCTCTTGATGTCATTGGTTGGTAGTCGGATGAGGAATATGCGTATATTATGTAATAAGAACTGTATTTTTGAGTGGGATTGTGCCATTATTAAAATCTTGGCTATTGTGCCTATTACCATCTTCCTATTCTAGCAGTTAATTCTTCAAATGTGCAGCAGATGTGGATGGAATCATTTGTGTAGTGAGTATATCTGGATAGGTACTAAGTGTTCCCTATATTACACTTTTTAAATGCAGTGTTTTTCTTCCTTTGGCCTGCTTTTTACTTCCCATTAGTACTTTTAAAGTAGTCTTATTGCTCCTTTTGTTATCCAAGAACAGTGACAACAGAGCCATGGATTTCATAATCTTCTGAAAATCAGCAGATTCCATGCTGTAACTGGAATGTGTGGGAAAGAATTAAATGCAATTCAGGTTGCATGTGTGAAAAGGAGAAAAATCATAGAAGAAATAATATTTCAGAGTTTCTGTATTGGCTTGGACTGTTGGGCAGGAGTTTGTTTCTGTTGTGTCAACTTCATCAACAGTTTACAGTCCTGCTGGGTGTTCCACTTGGCAGTTTTTAGTAAATGCATGCTGCAGATGTCTCTGTTCTCTGCTGCTTTCTTCAGTGTCCTTTCTGAAAGTCATTTACTAGGGGAAAAGAAGTTCTGATTTCACAGATGTCCTGATTTTATTAATTTCTTTGTTAATGATTGTAATGAATGAATGGAAGGAAGATGAATATCATGTAAATGAATTTAGATATGTTTCCTTGAATGGTGGATCCAAGTGTGGTGAAGAGAAAGTCGATTTGTTCAGGACATTTGTTCAGGTGATTCCTGCTTTTCATAGCCTCTAGAAAACAAAGCTAATCTTAACCCCTGATGCAAAGGAAACAAAGGTATTTATTTTTACTAGATGTGTGTGTATTTTGCTTTTGCAAAGAAGAGATTGTTTCATTTCCCAAAACATGATTGGGCCTTAGGAGGGCTGCATAAGAGGGCATGACCTCTGTAGGCAGAGAGCTTAGGTTTAATTATAGCCAAACAATTAATTTCATGAGAGAATGTTGAAAACAAAATGATGAGCATTCAACTGCCATTAATATACTAAATATTATTATAAGTACTAATGACTTCCTTTTGTGGGTGTGTTTTTCCTATAAGTTTTTGAGACCTTGAGAAGCTGTTGAGATAAGAAGTCCAGGTGATACCACTGCTATTATATTTTTCAATCATCTGTTTAAATATGTTACTTTTTAAATGTGAGAGACTTTTCTCTAAAATGGCTTTTTTGTTTGGTTGGTTTTTGTCTTTAAGATAAAGCACCTTTGTCGAAGAGTCTGTTACTAGTCCCAAGTGCCATCTCGATTCTCTTGACTCTGCTCTTCCAACATTATCAGAAGTTCTTTGCATATAACCTACAAGCTATAAAAGAGGATTTTCAGGTAAGAGTCAGTTCATTTTGTGTGGAGAGAGACTACAAACTGTGCTTTTCTGTGTGATTCCCCCTTCCTCACTCTGTTTCTCCTCTGGTTCTTTCCCTTTGTTCACTGTTGTAGAACAGCTTGTTCTTAGCTCTCTAGAATTTTACCCCAATATGCTGCTTTTCAGAAGAAGTGAGAAAAAGTGATCCGAAACAATCAACATAGCTTTTCACTTCTTTCTTCTGTCTGGGAAATGATTGATTTGTATTGTTTTTCCTTCCAGCCACTGGCATTTGGAAGCTTGCTGTGAATGGTGTTTTCAGCTGTGTAATAATAAAAGTAGTTTGGTATGAATGTCAGTATCTTATTATGCTTTGATTTTGAGGCTGAAGAGGGCTATTGTGATCAGGTAGTCTGATTCTATAAGCTTGATTTTAACAACATTGGCTGTAACTTTCACTTTCTAACTTCTGTTTTAGTGAGCTATGGGAAACTAAAATTTGCCTGTTGATTAGAACTGCTGCTTCTAACTTGATGATTCTAAATTATGGGGGAGTTTGTCATGCTCCTTATGCTCAGTTATCTGCTGAATTAATTATCTTGCCAGGCATTTTTTGCTCATTCCTACTTCAAACTGATATCCTTTATCTTCTAGGTAGTGCATTTTATATAGCTTTGTTCTCAGTTTGATTAAGAATCCTCAAATTGTAACTGTCAAAATAATGCACTTAGAAGTGATTAGGTAAGTTTTGTGGGGATTTGTTGTTTTTTGTTGTTTTTTTTCAGCTTTGGAAATGGCAATCTACTGCTCAGCAGAGAGGTCAACAAATGCCTCTAATTATCTCACTCCATATGTTTTACAGTTACATTAAAAAATAAGCATGTAGTCAACTTAATGTCTTTGAGGATGCCAACTGTAGCCTATAAGCCTTAAAAGTGATACACTTTGGTGTTGCACCGTCTGTGATTTTTCTTGTCAAGAACAAGAGCTTTGTTAAAATAATGTGTATTACAACTCTGCAAGAGCGCTGATGATATTTTCCAAGTGTCTTGCTAATGCTGTGCGGCAGGAATACATAAATTAATATCTGCCTTTTAAAAATATTACAGACAACTGTTTCCGGAGGAAAAGCTGAGAAACTATTCAAAGTTTTAAATGGAAATCTAGTGGGTTTGGGGTTTGTTTGCTTATTTGTTTGGTTTGCAGTTTTTCATTAGAAAACTCCTCTCTATGTGTTTAATCTGCTGAAAGCCAGTAGTAGCTGTGCTTTATTCAAATAAACTGTCTTTACTGTGTTTTAAGCATAAACATTTGTGAATTTCTGTAGAAGCTGTGATACTTCTATTGTGGTGCTTTAGAGAATTTGTGGGTTTGGATGTTTTGTTTCTTGAAGTTATTTCATGTACTGTCATAGCCTTTGGAGTAAGCTATATATTATATAATTGTGTACCTCTGAGATCAGAGAGAGCAGATCATTTAACTCCTGTCTGATGCTAATATTTAAATGAAAACACTGCAAAGAAAATCTGTTTAGAGTAAATTCATTTACAGGGTTAGTTGAGTGGATTCTTTTTTTCAGGGGCTGAACAGACAGTTTGGGTGTTGCGTATTAACCCTAGTTAAAACCGTTAGAAAGCATTGGAAATAAAGCATGCAGTTGAAGAAGAGTACATTTGATTTGGAAGGCAAAATATGAACTGTCTAAAATGAAAAGATCTTTGTCTCCATTAAGGGACCCCGAAGAGCAGTGAAGATGCTCTGTGCAAATTGAAGATCTTGATTACATTAGACCTATATCTTTTATGGGAAATTCTGCCTAGATGTTAGATTTGATTTAGTTTTTTAAACCATGGAGTGTTCAAATGTAGGCACAGGTTGCCCAAAGAGGTTGTGGAATCTCCATCCTAGTAGGTGTTCAAGACTCAGCTTGACATGGCCCCAGGCAAGCTGACCTAATTAGATCTGCTTATAGCAGTACACTAGACTAGTTGATGTCTGGAGACCGCTTCAAAAACATTTTTTCTTATGTAATTCTGCAGTTTACTAGGATCGTAATTTCCATATGGATTTGTAAATGTAAAATATGGACATGTAAATGTATTTGATTTCATTTGAATTGTAGATTTATTTTTAACAGGTAAACCTCTTACTTTAAAGACTTCTTGAATTCTATAACATGCTACTCTTTTTATTTCTCTCTTTAAATGCACTGCATTTCTCTTAACTGATTTCAGTATTACATTCTCTCTGAGCACAGATTCTGTAAAAATTTCTTTGAAGGAAGAGAGGCTTAACATTGTGATCTTTAACCTTTTAGATTTGGAGACTTGTATGTGGGAGAACTATATGTCTTGATTTGAAAGACACATTCTGCAGCAGTCTGCTCATTTACAACTTTAGAATATTTGAGAGAAGATATGGCAGCAGAAAATTTTCAGTAAGTTACAGTTATTTAATATTATTTTTTGTTAACAGAAACTTTTTTCTACGCTGTTTAGAATCTTGCAGTCTTGGATTAATATTGCAGTTTATTACTAACATTTTGCATAGAAATATATGTTAAAGGGCTTTAAAGAATATTTGGTTTCCATAAATTTGTTGATATATCTTCTAGTCAGTGTATTATCCTAATCAAAGTTTGCAGCTGTTATCAGTTGAAAGTTACCAGACCCATGGAATTTAATTTTGATAACAAATTTTAACTCTTCATGTTGGTATCTAGACTTAGATGTGGAATTGCGTTGTCCTAAATATTTTATTTTTCTTGTATGAACTAGTGTAGTGGTTTTCTTGGGTTTTCTTTTATTTGTAGATACATTATTTTTAAACTTTTGAATTAATTATAATTAAACTTTTTTTCTTTTCAGTCCTTTTTACTGGGTGCCTGGATGCTCTCAGCTTTGTTTGATCTTCTTCTTGTAGAAATCACTCAGTATATATTTGGCATCACCATCAACAGCTTGCCTTCTGGTTTGTAAGTAGCTCCTAATGTATTGCTTATTTTAGATATAGTTTCAAGGGATTATTTTGCACAATTTTTAATGAAAAAGCCCAAACCACTTTCTTCATGCAACCCTTTAAATTAAATTTAATCCTCTTCTGAAGACAGTGTAGAGTTTCTTGGCGCAGCTATTATGTGTTCAAACATTTGTTTCCTAGTTGTGATCTGTGGTTAATTAATTTATAATTTATTTGTATAATGATTAATTTTTCATTCTCTTATCCCCGTTTCCACTGTCAGCATGATTGAAGCATGACTGGGCTTGCACTGCATACATATGCAGCTGTGTGCATTTCCTACTGGTAGTATGTATGTGTTCTAAAAATGGAGTACTCGAGCATGTTATTCCATTTAGTGTTTGCATCTGAAGTTTTTAAAGCTTTAAGGTGTTCAGTGGTTCAGTTTTGCATAACCTATAGTTGAGATTTCTACGCTTAATAAGAGATAGATGTCCATGTTACAGTAGAACCTTAGAGCTTCATACAGACTTGAGTTTCCATGTGTTGCACACTCTGATGTAATACTAAAAGCTCTTGGAGTGAGAGTTTCAATATTAAACACCATATTAGATGCTTTTCTTTCTATGTTTTTAGTATGTCTCTTTGTGGTGGGTTTACACTGGCTGGATGCCAGGTGCCCACCAAAGTCACTGTATCACTGCCCTCCTCAGCTGGACCGGGGAGAGAACATGTAACAAAAGGCTTGTGCATTGGTATAAGGGCAGGGAGAGATCACTCACCAATTGGACAGGGAGACATCACTCACTGGTTACCCTCACAGGCAAAACAGGCTCGACTTGGTGAAATCAGTTTAATTCATTACCAATCAAATCAGATTAGGGTAATTAGAAATAAAACCAAATCTTAAAGCATCTTCAGCCAACCCTTCCTTCTTCCTGGCCTCAAATTCACTCATGATTTCTCTACCTCCTCCCTGCCAGCAGCACAAGGGGGTGGGAAATGGCGGTTGTAATCAGCTCTGTAGGTCCCCTCCATGGGGTGCAGTCCTTCAGGAACAGGCTGCTCCTCTCTGAGTCATGCTAACACTGATCTAGAGAGAATGAAGCTAATTTTAGAAGTGTGGCATATACAGTAGTTTCAGGAGCATTTGGTTGTGCAAATATAAAAGATAAGTATGTGTTGTATCATAATTTTTCAGTGTTGTATGGTTTATTATAGTTATGTCTGGCAATATTCACAGTCTTTTGAGATGACAAAAGCATTGGAAAGTTTAACACTTATACAAGGTTTTCATTTATTTCAGATTTGCAAAGGCAGTTGAGCAAATATGAAAAGTTGCAACAAATATATCTGTTACTTCTGGCACTAGAACATTCTTCAGTGTAGTCAAAAATGCTACAATTCAGAAATAGAATCACTTGTTCACATTATAAAAGTCCCCTTACTTTTTTTTAATCTCTTTTTATATCAGTTCACTGTTCATATTACTGAGTGATCTTACACTTCCAGTTCGAAAACTTTTCCTGCGCACACTGCGAAGGTAATTGCGATAGAGGATTACACTGATGACTCTCGCCTGAAATTGTTTAGAAACAATATAGTACAATATAACATCCAAGCACGTACTGAGATTCATGAGGAAGGTGGTGAAGGCTGCCCAGGGGTTGTAAGTTGTATTTTCATGTTGCAGCATCAGAAGGGCAAAGCAAATGTGGAAGGGTACAAAGCAGATGAGTACTTGAGCAATCAGAGTTACTATAATTCTTATGGATCTCTCTTTGGCCTTAGGCTTCAGTTTGGAAGTCTTGCCGTGAATGAAGTTGTAAATAATAACTAGGTAACACCCTATCATGATAAACAAGGGAATCAAAAAGAAAAAAATCAAGCGAGAAAAGTTCAATGTATTTACTTCCTTTAAATGGATGATATCCAGCGATTTCATGCAGGTGGTGAAGTTAAAGTGTTTGTCTGGATCAGACTGTAAAAACAGCAATGGGGACGTTGTTGCGAGTGTCATTACCCAGATTCCAGTGCAAGCTAGCATGGCTTTTTTTGTATTTTTCAGTTCTTTGATATGTTTGGGCTGGACAATAGCCATAAATCTGTCTACACTTATAAAAGTGAGTAACCACAGAGCAATGGCTGGATAAAATACAGTGAAAGCGCTGATAATCCGACAGAATGTATCCCCAAAAGGCCACATTTCTCTCCCATGGTAGATTATCCGAAAAGGCAAGGAAAATATAAAAATTATGTCAAGTAATGCCACATTCATCATGTATACAGTTATAGTTGTTCTCTTCTTGGTAGTGCAGCTGAAAACCCATAGTGCAGTGGCATTCACCAACAATCCCACTATGAATACAAAACTGTAGAAGACCAGTGATGCAATCCTGTATTCTTCAGGGTGGTGATTTCCAGGCTTCATATTTCAGTTGAGTTTAGGAATAGTTGTTGCCCTCCATAAATACCCTACAAATAGATAAAATATGAATAGTGAAATAAAAGCTTTCTTTAAAACAAAGAAGATTGTTGTGGGGTGGGGTTTAGTGATGAGATTGTATTGTTTAGCTGTGAAAATGTGCTAGCTTTGTTGTGTTTTCTGACTACAAATACATTATTGTGCTATGAAGGAAGAGAAATAGTATTCATATGGTAGTTTTAATGGAATATTTTAATTACTTAAGATATTTCTTATATAAGGAATCAAAAAGTCAAAATTGATCAGCTACTTTAAGTGTGCTTCAGTAAGTGATTAGATTGAAACAGCTGTAATTGAGGTAAGAGAGCTGTTTTCTAAAGAAAGTACTTCTTCAAGTTGTCCCTGTTGAAAAATTAAAGACTAAAACTAGTTATGGAAAGAAATAAGAGACCATCGCATGTACTGACATTTGGATATGCAAAGTGAAGTACTGACTTCACATTTTATCTGTGTAGGAACTACTTAGCTCCCAAAAGAATAGGTACATGCTGTTGCTCATAAAAGACACTAAAAAGCTATCTTAATAGCTACGTAGCTTCTAACAGAGTATTTAATCCCAGGTCATCCGAACCAACCACCTGACATATGACTAAGATTAATATAATGATAGGCTTCCTATTTAAAAAAGTAAAAAGATGGGAAGTGGTGCAGGCTCTGACCATGCCCTGTGTGAACAGTATTTGTTGGGGGGGGGATAAGTTGCTGGCTGGTAGCCAGCTGCTCCAAAGCACAGTTGTGTTGCTTCTCTCATCTTTGTGATTGTTGGAGTTGGACATCTGAAGTGTCATTATGCAAACTCAGGTAATGAGAGCTGAACGAGATCATCCCCTGGTTTACTCTGGAGCCATTTGAGGATGGCAAACCTTACCTGATGTTTGCATGGGTGCCTTGGTTAACCTACATCCCATGCTTTCCTGGCTCTTCCTGTGGTCAGAGTTCCATGACCTTGCATGGAAGGATTCCTCTTGTTTGGCCTTTTACCCAGCCCTGTGGCAGCTTCGTGAAGGGGAGGAAAGAGTTAGTTGTTTGTCTTATCTTCCCACTTGTGACAGACAGCCATGTAAGTTCTGTATATGTATCAGGCACCAAAACTGTTCTTAAGAGCAGAAGAGTGCATACTTCATGTGTGTTCTATCTCCAAAACTTGACAGTGCACTAAAAAAAAACCCAAAAGCTTATTGTTTATGCTTTCACTTTAATGTGAAAATGTACTTTTTTGAAAAAATGTACTTTAATGAAAAAATGTACTTTTTTCAGTGGTATAGGAATATGTAGGGGATTGAACCAGTGTTTATTAATATAGCATGCTGGTTTGACACTGGCAATCATCAACTGCTTTTGAGAAGACTATCCATGAAGTAGCTAACTACAGTATGATCTATTACATCTTTCTGCAGGTTAGCTTTTGCCTTGCAATACAATGTTTGGACTTCTGATTTTCTTACAATCCCCCAGTTTACAGATATATAAAAAAAATAATGCATACAAGTACCTAACCCTGAACTTTCATCTCAAAGGTTATTTTTTTTTTAGCTGTACAAAACAAAAACGCGTTTTCTGATCAGATGAGGTCTCTAGGAAATGTAACAATTTGTTTTGTATGGGAAAAGGTATGCATATAATACTGACAAAACATTTGGAGGGCATCTGCATGAATAAAATACCTCATTGTGTGAATAGCAATAAATGTAAAAGAATTAAAGAGCAATAGCAGACCACATGAAAGGTAGATGGCATATGCTTGAAAGAAAATTTTGTATTCCATGCTTATAGCACAGTTGAAATATTGCCTGGCATACTGCCCCACTTCCATTAACTGTTGCATAAAGATGTCCAAATATTGCTTAACATGCACGCACACATCCATTTTAAAGTGTTTTTTATCTTTTGTTCTGTTTGTTTTTCTCTCTTGCCAGTGATTGTGTATAACATAGTGCATGATTACCTGTCTCAAGATCCTGACTGATCTAGCAGGTGAATTGAGTAGCCACGTATAGGATAGGTGGAAGAATTCACTTTTTATGGATGAATGTTAATAAATAGCATGAGTTTTCGTTTTATTTTTATTCTTCTCTCCTTTGGACTTGTAGTTACTAAGTTATTTCTGAACAACCAGCAAGCCAGTGTTGACAGGAAGAGGGGAAGCTGAATCTGGCATGAACTTCTATCAGGAAAATCTGCTGTTTCATGCCTTGTTTGATGGTTATTTCAAGTTTATGCCAGTTTTGAGATATAGCAAAGAATGGCTTACTGAAACAAAAAGGGGATTTTTTTGTTTAGTTTGTGAAGATGTTGCTTCCAAACTATACAGGTTTAAATGCATCTCAATGTTACAATTAGGTATTTCTCCTAGGTTTTAATTTTTAAGAATCTAAAGCTTAACATTTATGTAGCTAAGAAATAATGAGATTTTTGTAAATCATGTAGTCACCTGTCTGCATTTATACATGGATGCAAATATCCTGCTTTTTCATCAGTGGAGTTCAGGCTGATACATTGCAGGTTAGCCCAAGTAGATGTTTGGATGTCTCTTGGTGGACAGTTTTGCCCTATTTGCTGTTTTTCATAATGGAAACACTTACTTACTGGTATTGATTAAAGCAGTTGCTGAAGAGCCCCTGGAGTAACTGTTTTCTGGAAGTCTGTGCTAGTTCTAAATGAAATTCTGATGTTTGTCTGTATGTTTTATCAATATGTTTTAATTTTTTGATGATAGCTGAGGTCCTGAATGTCTAGTGTGGATTGTGAAGCCCATCTAGGTGCTGTGTATGAGAACCAAGGCCTTCAGAAGAAAACCAGAATTAAATCTTTTCCTCCAGATTTACATGGCAAGTTAAGCAGTGGTGACAACATCTAAAGTATGTGTGTGCACCTCTGTTCCCAATCCCCTTTTTTTGCTTTGGCTGACCCTCATATTTGCTCACATTTCCCTGAGGAAGACATGGCTTTCAGTGAAGAATAGAGAGACCAAGCAACAAGATCTTCTCCTAGTTTTAGTTTAATAAAAACAAGCATCCTTCCTTTAGAGGTAATGTACCGGTACCAATGCTTTTAGTTACTGTATATTTTAAAGTTTATTTTAAAAATCCCAACCAACAGTATTTACAGTACTACGCTTTTCCAAATGCAATGGTTTTGCTTCAAATGTTATTGATAGAATGCTGATACTTTGAAAGTGCCTTAAAGAATTAAATATCATCTCCTAAGTTCTAGAATTAATGCCTGTGTTCAGCTTCTGAAGATAGAAGTCCATTTTAGCAATTTACATAAACATCCAAGTCACTTTGTTAGCATAGGATAAGGGAATGTTACTGACCTTTTGTGCAGTACAGAGTTTCTTCGGAGACCCTCCTTTCCTAGTCCCAAATCTGTAGAAAGTTTAGACTTCCTCTTCTCTGATCAGCTTCACTTAGCTAAAATAGGTCCTCTTCACAGGCAGGAAACAATGACGTAGTCTAGCCAGTTCTAAGCTCTTCTATTGGCCATACTTAAAAGTGAGTGTTTTGCATACGTGTGGTGTCTGTGAACTGATATTTCTAGTACCTTTTGACAGACAAGCTTTTATAATATTTCCAGTGTGACCAAACTGGGGTGTTGTACCATGCATCTTTTTAAAATACAATTTTAAATGTTTGTGGTGTAATGAAAGCATATTTTTGGTTAACATTTACATGCAAATGTATCCACAAGAATGCGTATCTTAGTTATGCAGATGTTTCTAATCAGCACAATGTAAATGTGATTTCTGTATAGTCTGTGTTTTGTGGAAATCCCCATTTTACTTATATTGCCTTGGACAGTAGTCAGCCTGAAAGTGACAGAAACTTGCTACATTTGAAATGAGAAGTTTGATTCGCTTGAATACACAGCTTCATTTATGCTTGTACTTACCATATTTTACTAATACAACAGCAACGTTTCTCTGTGTTATTTGCTGTCTAAAATAATAACATGCCATTTTAAGAGTTTTGCAGAAAAATGCAGTATGAAGAAAGGTTTTAGCCTTTGTTAAAATGGAGAAAAATCTCTGAACAGTGTCACTGCAACAAACATCTTTGGTCGGATGAGAGTATTCAAAAGGCTAATAGGTAAAAGAGAGTAATTTCCTACATTTTCTCTTTGTCAACTCAAAAATAAATCCAACATTTGAAAGAGCCATTCAGAGAAGGAGATCATTCCATATTCCCTGCAGAGCACTTGCTAGCTCCAAGTCTCTGACTGGCAGTCTTTGGGATATTGAAGCACAATAACAGAGAGTTTGGCAACTTTGTGCCCTCCTTTTTTTCCTCCCAAATGAACCAGAAAGATGTGTGCTGAGGAAGGGAGCAGCAGTGCTTCACTCTCCTCCTGGCATGCAGTCAAGAATTTGCCAGGATATGCACATGTTGCCAGAAGCAACAAAGTCCTGCAGTTAGATGTAGCCAGGATCAGGTTTGTTACTGTAAAAGTAAGGTAGGTAGGTGATCCTTACTTACTGCTAAAGATAGCTTTTGGGAAAAATACCCTCTCTGCTGGAGTTATGTAATTCATCTCAGCTGAGTGGGTTTGTGATAGTGTTTAGCTTATTTGCATAGGTCAGTGTGATGGGTGAAGTAATCATAGGGAAGGACCTGGGTATGGTTTTCAGTGTGTAGAATAATAATATCTTTATATACTTGGTCTTTCCTTTTAGGGAAACTAATACCAAACTTAATATTTTTTTAATCATTCAGAAACCCCTTAAATGGAATGAGCTGCAAATCCTACCCAGACCATCCAATAGAAATATAAGTCTATTGAAAAGGACTTAATATTTTAGGATTAAGGAGTAACCAGTGTTGAAAACTCTTTCAGTGGCTTTATCGTTCACAGAACAACTCTGGAGCATGCTTCAGCAGGATGAGTCAGTCATACTGTTTTCAAATTTAGTGAAAACATACGGAAATTCAGTGACATGCATATTTTTAAAGGGTTTAAAAAAGGGTGTGTGGCTCCTAGAAGACAATAACTAGGTTTCTGACCTCTCCTAGGCAAGGCTACTGTATTTTGAGAAAAATAATGTGCAGAAGCCTGAAGGTTGCTTCCAACATGAACTATATTATAAATGTACCGATACAAGCAAGTAGATAGCCAGTGTCCCCGTTAGCTAAAGAGTGCAAAAGTAACACTGGATTTGGATGGAACCCAGGCAGATGTTGAGGCTGAGGAAAGCTGCATGCTGTGAACTGCCTCTTGGCTTGCAGACTTCTTGGGGGAGGATCAGAAGGGTGACATTTTATCTGTGTCTCATCTTGTCCAAAGAGGGTGGCTGACGCCTTAACCCTAGAAGGAAGGATGTGCCTCAGGAGGGCAACTGGAATCAAGTCACACTTGCAGCTCAACAGTTTGCACAGGTGGATAGCAGCAGCTCTGTTGAATTTACTGGCAGGTTAGTCATCCAGCTGGTTTGCCCTAGCATGTACATGTCATTCCGTGTTCTGCTTTCACTCAGGCTTTTCACAAGTCTGCCTGGCGGAGAGGAGGCTGCCAAACTGCTCTGCTGCTGACAGGCTGGAAGGCTCCCCCTGAGCATGGAGGAGCAGGTCTGTTTGGCAGCAGTGTTCTGAAAATACATGTTTTGTACCACCAGCAATGTGTGCTCCTCCTGCAGCTCAGGCTGGTTGCAGCTGCAGGGTTAATAAACATTTGGATGTGAACACCAAAGTGAAAAGTTGCAGTACCTGTGGTTTGTGAGAGGCAGTGGACCGCTCTGCTGTGCCACATTCCCCTCTTGCTTTGGTTTCTGGTGTAGGAAGCACCTGACTCTATTTTTGTTTTCTTCTTCTGTACTGTTTTATCAGCTAGAGATGAGTGTGTTGCATTGGTTTCTCTCAGATGGGTGACTACTTCCACTGCTCCAGCTTTTACTGAAATAAGTGCTTAGTTCCCTCCAGGGTCTTTTTCGCTATTTTGAAGTTTCTGGAGTAAAGAAGATAATTCTGTTTGTGTTATGTTGTTCTAAAGCCATTTTTAGTACTTAAAGCTAAGCCTATGTACTTCATGTCTGAGGATAAGGCAGGGTGCACATGTGGTGTGTTACAGTGCCTTCATTAACTTGCAGTAAGCTTCAGAATACATGAGCTTGATCACCTGCAATGACATGAAAGTGCAACACTGAAAGGATTGTCTTCGTGCTGTTGGTTTGCAGGAGTAACCTACTGCTGGGTCTTTCATACAGAAAAGTCTTTTTTTCCTGGCCCTTTACCATTTAACATAAGCTTTGTCCAGCTGATAGAGAAATTCTGCAGGCAGAGGGGGAGAAGGATCACCCTTGGCTTCAGTTTGGTAAGAAGCAAGCTTGAGCTTGTGTTCTCTTTCTCGTTTTGAACTTTTGATGTTTTGAACCTATTGAAAAGAAAGAGCTGAAGCTTTTTGCACGGTTCAGTGCACCAGTGGTACAGGAAGCAACTCTCCCATGTGCCAGTTTGTTTAACTTACCAGCTTGCTGTTGTGGGTGAGTTCACATGCGGTTTTGGATTACTGTTCTCAACCTTGATGAAATTGTGCTTCATTTTTTATTCCCATGTGATGTTGTACCATAATGAAGGTTTAAGAATAGACTACTGGTTAAAAGTTGCCATGGCACTGAATGCATAAACTTACTGGAGATGTTTCCAGTTTTGCCGTTTGTGTGTTACTCAGAGGCTGTGTCATGGCATAGCTGTCCCTCCTCTCCCACTCCTCAACCTGGGAGTGAGTGTGAATGCTATATGCAGCAGAGCTGAAGGAATGGGAAACAGTGCAGCTTAAGAGAATTACAGCCTAGTTAGCTAGGTCTGGCATGTCCTAATCACTGTCACATTTTGCTTTCTCATTGGGTTAGAATTCAGTATGGTTTGAGGAAGGAGTTCCTGATTTTTTTTCTTTTAAAGGAAAAATCAGTATTGAAATTGACATTCCATGTTTCTTTTTTTTTTTTTTCCCCACCTCCTTCTCTTGTACAGCCAGACCCACTGTCTGTCACTAAATACCCTAAAAATATACAGTGTATCTGGCCTGCAGTTCAGCTGTTCAGCAGCATCAGCCTTTGAAAGAAGCAATACTTCAAAAATCAGTCGAGGTGGAAGTTGAATCTCTAAGATGTCTGAGAGTGGGATAGTGGACTAGAGGCAAGGCAGTGGTTTGTTATGCAGCAGCAATCTCAGAATGTATGTGTCTGTTATTAGCTCATGGCAAATACCAGCACAGCTCCATGCTTGATGGACCCACAATGCCTTTGGTAGACTTAAACTGCTGTGTCTGTTCTGCTGTGTTGGGAAGCAGCTTTACTTTCCCCAAACTTGCAGATTTCTCATGGCTAATATTTCATGGTTGTTTGAAACCTGTTTGAGTACTCATTTTTTTTTTTTTCTTTTTTTAAATCTGCATGCAGTGTCAGGAGCTATGCAATGAGTTAGTTGTTCCAGCTTGGAAGTCTCTAGGAGAGCTTTTTCAAATACTCTTTCCTTACAGAGTATGTGGTACGTGGTATTTTTACTATTAAACTGCTCTTAAAAGTCTCAGGTGTGTAGGAGTACTGTTCTGAAACTTGGTATGCCTCCCAGGGATAGAGTTAATATTTCAAGAGAAATGTCTTTACTGGGAGCTGCTTCTACTCAGATTCTTTTGATGAAGTCAAGTGCAGAAGTAGGGAAAACCATTTTGACTTCTCTGGAATTGAGGTGTTTGAGCAACTTCTGCTTAGTTACTAGCCTGAGTATATGTAACCAGAAATGAAATAATTAAAGATTACTACATATGCTTTAGCGTGCCAGTGAAGTGTTTAATCAAAAGTACCTGAAATGAGAGTGAGCTGTGCAAGCATTTGAATTAGAGAAAGTGCTGTCCTTCAAACTCAAGGGCACTTTGGTGTGTGTTGTGCTCCTGTTTGTGCTGCCCAGCCCTGGCAGGTGGCTTGCTACTATGAAGTGACAGTCTTCTAATGTTGTTCAGCCTGTGCTACCTGTCTCTGGCACAGATTAACAAACACATAATGTGTTGAAGTTGTGAAGCTTGGTGTACTGCACGGGAGCTGATCTGACACGAGAGGGAGCATTCAGGGTGGTAAAGGGGCTGGCATAATCCAAACAGGGACAAAGCAGCTCAGGTCCAGCCACACAGCAGTGAATCTGGTTCGTTAGGAACTCTGCAGGGCAGGGTTTCTTGGTGTGTAGGCATAGCACTGTCCTTGGAGGGAATGGGAGGAGAATTTGGGTGTGAGTATGCTTAGTGCACCTGAATGCTGGGATAAGGCCAGCTGATTCTGTGAGCTGGCAAGACAGAAAAGCTGGCTATGGGTAGATTATGTTAGAGAAACTGACTGTACAGAGCTGAGTCCTCTCAAAGGACTCTATACTTTCTGACTATTCAGCCGCAAGAAAAATGTGGCTTACACGCAGACACATGCACTTTAAAGGAAATGAGCTGAAAACCCTGAGCTTTATCATGTCAAGAAGCCTAGCAAAATCAGCCAGAGC